TTTGATGTGAGAAAAGCTTTTGATTCAGTACCGCATCATTTGTTACTTGCTAAACTTGTTATACTCGGCTTTGATTTTGAATTTCTCCAGTTGTTTGAATCTTATCTGACAAACCGGTATCAGTGTGTGCTAATAAATCAATCAATTTCGTCTCCTCTGCCAGTTACCTCGGGCGTTCCTCAGGGGAGTGTTCTCGGCCCACTTCTGTTTATTTTATTTATAAATGATATGACCGATGATGTGTTAAATAGTGAATTTTATCTATTTGCAGACGACCTGAAGATTAATAGCTCATCTGCTCCATCATTAGTTCAAAAAGATATCGATTCTCTTTTTAATTGGTCAACTAACAATCACTTACAGTTTCATTCTGCCAAATGTAAAGTTCTGAACTTTGGTGGTTATGATGATTATATCCAATTCTTGCTCGGATCAGACATCTTACCATTTGTTGATGAAATTAAAGATCTTGGTATCATAGTCTCCAACAATCTTTCCTGGAAATCCCATCTGAATACTAAGTTGATAAAATGTTCCAGATTGTTTTATTTTCTGAAACGAAATATTCCTTTCTCGGTATCCTGCAGTCGAAAAAAGTTACTTTACAATACTCTCATTCTGTCAATCTTACTTTACGGTGCTCCTGCATGGTGCCCTTCTTTGACACTATTACATCAGCTTGAACTGTTCCAGTACAAAGTTCTAAGATGGATCAAGAAATGTTCATCGTATGTTTCAGGGCTACTAAATCTGAATATGCTTCCAATTAGCTATGTATTGATTAGAGTTGAAATTCTTCTACTTTGGAAGCTCCATAACAATGTTATTGATGTTGACTGCAAAAGTGCAACCAGCTCGCTTCCTACGCGTTCCGCTACGAGTGGCCTATTCGTCATACCGAACACGAGGAAATTGAAAACTGACGATAACTTCTTTGTACGAGCTCCCCGTGCTGCCAATGAACTTCTGCGTCTGAAAATTATATCTTTCGACATGCCCCTGGGAATGTTCAAATCAAAACTGAATAAATTTTTACTGCTTAAAACTTCAACTTTGTTTGATATAAACAGATCATGCACATTCTTTGTCAAATGTTTTTGTAAAAATTGTCGATCGTAAGTTCATTCAATATTTATATTAACCCTGTATCCACCAATGGAATTAAAGTCTTTTACTACTACTACTACTACTAAGATTTTTAGTTCTACAACGTTTATTCAGACTCTTTGTCGATATAGCAAAATATTGGTGTATACTTGTGTTAGTACGATTTTAGCTCTAGAATTGTTATTTCAGGCTCTTCGTCAATATAGCAATATTTTAGCGTATACATGTGTTAGTACCATTTTTAGTTCTCGAACTGTTATTTTATGATCTATGTCAATATATCAAAATTTTAGTGTATACATGTGTTATTACGATTTTTAGTTCTCGAACTGTTATTTCATGATCTTTGTCAATATATCAAAATTTTATTGTATACATGTGTTAGTACCATTTTTAGTTCTCGAACTGTTATTCCATGATCTTTGTCAATATAGCAAAATTTTGGTGTATAAATGTGTTAGTACGATTTTTAGCTCTAGAACTGTTATTCCATGATCTTTGTCAATATAGCAAAAATTTGACGTATACATGTGTTAGTACGATTTTTAGCTCTCGAACTGTTATTTCATGATCTTTGCCAATATAGCAAAATTTTGGTGTATACATGTGTTCGTACGATTTTTAGCTCACGAACTGTTATTTCAGGCCCTTTGTCAATATAGTAAAATTTTGGTGTATACATGTGTTAGTACGATTTTTAGTTCTAGAAGTGTTATTTTATGATCTTCGTTGATATATCAAAAATTTAACCTATACATGTGTTAGTACGATTTTTAGTTCTAGAACTGTTATTTCAGGCTCTTTCTCGATATAGCAAAATTTTGGTGTATACATGTATTAGTACGATTTTTTGTTCTAGAACTGTTATTCTTCAATTATTAGTTGTTCAAGTTGTTTGGTTTTTGCTTCAGTGTCTATGCCTTCGGTGTATTGCGCGTAGCGCCTATGTTAAAACACACGTGAAAATATTTTCTGCTAAAGTTGGGGTTTGAAATGGTGTTTCTGACTCCGATTGGGATTTGATTAAGCGAAAAATACACGTTTGGTTATTAACACACTGCAATTGTTTGTTAACCGTTTTTTCAGGCAAAAAAAAGTAAAATTTTTACAGAGAACCGAACAAGCATGTGTTCTTATTGCGTCTGTTCCTTAACAGGCGAATCAACAAGTCTCAGTGAAAACAAACCATGCTTAAATCGAATGTCAGCTTTGCCTGATCGTCGTTTTCCACGTCGAATGCAAAATGTTTAAAACTTGATTATGCTCAATAAAAGTGTACTGAACCCGTCTGGGAGTGACGTAGAAAAAGCTGACCACCAAGGCGATGATTACAAACGAGTTTCTGCACATTTTTTTCAAAATAAGTTAAATGATTAAAAGTTGAAATAAAACTAAAGTCTTTTCACAACAGACAAAAAAATCATCGAAGTCTCCTCTTCTAGGTTATAACTGTAACATTCGCCCGGAAATACATATCGACGGAAAATAAAGCTAGGTTCTAAAACGACTGGCTAGCGTCTAAACACAGCTCTACATGCTTTTCTCCGTCTCTGCCAAAGCCAGTTCTTTTGGTGGTTTTCCTAACATCGGGTCGACAAAAACGTTACTGCTTTCGGCTTCGGTCAAAACACTCAAATTAACTTAATTATATGCAAGAATAGTGAGCTCATGGCTGGGTCTCAGTATCCCCAGACCACGAGGTCACTCCTAAAAACAGGGCTACTACTACTTATTATATTACTATTGTTTTTGTTCAGTAGATAAAAATCATCATCTCCATCGAAGATGGATCAACCCTTTCCCTCAACTCCTAGCTTCTCATTATCTGAAAATGAAACTGGATGTTAATTAAATTCAATTCAGGACATAACCAGGAAGCTAAAATTTGTATAAAATAGTTTGAGTTCAGGTCTCGAGACCCCACCGGATTCTGGAATACGGGGAAATAACGTTCTTATCTCCTTTCCAGAAGGCTGGACACACACTGTCCCAACACCCTTCACCGTTTGCGTGAATTGCTCTGTAACGATTGTAGCGACACAATCGTTACAATTCGGAGCGGTCTCTGACAATTCCCAGTTGTATCTCGTTAATTCTATCGCAACTATTGTTGTTGTGTTTTTCTTCTTGCTTTTTTCCAAAAATGGCCGTTTCGACGTTTCTCAGAAGTGTGACGTCATCATTCGAATTTTTAAAAATTAAAAATTCCAGAATCTTCTGACCTTCACGATTCGTCTAATCATTTAAATAACGTCGCTAATCTGCTAAAACGGTTAATCTTCCAGGTCAGCGGCTATGAATTCGAAATTGCATTTTTGCCCATTCTGGTCGAATGTCACAAACATCTAAATTTGATCTAAGATGATTGCTCCATTAAAACTTAGGTGAGTGACCTTAACTTTTGCAAATTCATAATTTTACCAGATTTGTTTTAACCAGAATTGTTTTTATTCGGATTTTTAAACAAACCATCGCTCAAATCAATTAGAGAAATAAATTAGATGCATTCGCAACCGGTCAAAGTTCTCTTCCGAACAAAGATTTGCGAAACCCATTTACTGCCGCTATCCTTGTATTAAGGTAGTCACGATATCTTTGTTTTTCAAAAACTTTTTTGTCGTAATTTTTTAAGAAAAACAACTACTTTGTTCCTTTTTGCCAAAGATCAGTTTTTCGAATTTTTCTCGGGTGTCTAACGCAGATTGAAAATGTTTGCGCCAGGAACTTTTTCGAGAAGGGGGGGTCAAATATTGATTCAGCTTATGATAACTACTGCCAGGTATTGATAGAACCAGGCGGTGTGGTGCTTCTTTTTTGTGTACTTTAGCCTAACCGTATAACTCTCAACGGGCTGAGCACCTGTAGTTCTAAGTTTTGAAAAAATTTTATCTCTTATCAGTTCTTGTTTTTTCATTTAGTGTGTAGTTGATATCCTTTTTCACTCTCCCAGATCAAACTATTAGTGCCGCTTTTGATTTCAGTCAACTGTTATCAATTCAAAATTTCCAGTAGTTTTCGGTCATGTCTTTTGATAGCACAAAATCCATTGCCTTTATCATAAGGAATAGCAAAAAGATCATTTTCTTTCAAATATTTCACCACTTTTGAAAGTGCACGATCAACGGGTGTTTCTCCGATATTCCTTGCGTACCACTTTGCTGAGGCTTTTATTTCACACAATTTTCCCCCTCAATTCTATTCTCACGTAGGTTTCTTACTTATTCATCATTGTCGGCCAGGAAATGGTTTTCATTATACTTATCCCTAATCGGATGCTTCGGACCATACGAAAGAAACTCTTCAACAAAAATTGGCAATTTAATGTCATCTAACGGTTTTTTTGAAGTGTCAGTCTTTCGTAGCGGTTTTCCTTGGCAATTTGACAAATTTAGTAATTTGGCGTTCATTTTTTTTGTTTGTTACAGTGATTGAATAAACTCCGACAGATAGTCGAGGAGGAAACCCATTGTGGAAAAACCACTAACTTCTTAATAATAAGAATAATAATGTGCTGAGTTTTTGACGTAAATTGAAAACTACCAATGATAGCCTATGTTTATCGATTTTATTGGTAAAACGATGTCTCTTTTCATCAACATTTTTAGTTAGCTGAGCCATATTAGCTTTCGCTTTTCTCAACTCGTTTTTTTAGCAGTTTTTTCTGTAAATTTAGCACAGCTTGCAAAACTAGTTCAATCAATCTATCTCATCACTAGGATTGAAGAGCGTTTAAAAGTGGATAATCTTGTTGGGTAACATTTTTTGTATTTGGAAGTTTTTCAGCTGGAAGTTCATAATTTTAAAAAAAATTTCAAGAGGATGTACAAAAAATTTAAAACTTCAAAAGTTGTATGCTTGTTGACCCAAATGATGTTTTTAATTGTTTCAGAGAAAATGCCGTCCAAAAACTCACTAACAGATCGACTCAAAGCTTTCAATACTGGCACAATGAATGTTTCGAAGAAAGTATTATCGAAACGAGAACTGGAGGAACAAAAGAAGAAAGAGGAAGAAAAGGAAACAGCTAAGGTATTCGAAGACTTCGTTGCATCTTTCGACGAAAAAACAGAAGTACCCAAAGCTAGTTTTATACGAGGTAGTATAATCAACGCCGACTCATCGGGTGTGAAGGAGCTAAAAAATGAAAAAGAAGGTACTATGTACCAGCCTCAGGCAAAGAAAAGCAGGCAATCCTCTTCCAATTCTACGTCTGCTCGTAGCAATTTAGAAGAAATCAAGCGGGAAATCGAGAAAAGAATGATACATGAGAGAGCCAAAAAAACTAAAAAGGAGGAAAATAGAAAGAAGAGTAATTTAGAGGCGTTCAAAGAAGAATTGAAGCAAATGCATGAAGCTCGTGAAGAGCATGTCAAAATCAAACAACAAATAGTAACGATTGAGGAGAAGATGAGAACTAAAAGTGGTTCACTTACTAGTCATGAGCAGAAAATTTTGTCGTTGAAAAACCAAATAGCGGCTACTGAAGAAATAGCTAACACTGATGTCGCGGATCCCAACTCTACTAACCTTTACTGCTCAAATATACACACGGATTTGCTCGAAGAACATTTGTGCAAACTTTTCGGACGTTATGGTCCTTTGGCAAGTGTTAAGATAATGTATCCTCGCTCCGATGACGAGAAATCAATCTCTTCGCGGCGAAACACGAACTGCGGTTTCGTTGCATTCATGTGTCGAAAAGATGCTGAAAGAGCTGCGAGAAGCCTGAATGGAATCGAGTATAAGGGGACAACGATGTCTGTAACGTGGGGTCGGGTTGTTCCCATACCTCCCCACCCGATATATGTTCCAACTCGACTTAGGAAACTACTGATGCCCCCACCTCCTACCAGGCAACCCTTCAATTGTCTCCATCCAGACATGGCTTCCATGTCTTCATTGGAAGACGAGGACGACGAAGATGTGAAAAAGCTCTGGGAAAAGCATCTGGAAGAGGCCTGTGTCAAAGTGTGTATCCCAACTGACAGGACTTTGCTGAGTCTCATCCACCGCATGGTGGAGTTTGTCGTGCGAGAGGGTCCCATGTTTGAAGCGCTGATTATGAACCGCGAACTAAACAATCCAATGTTTCGGTTTTTATTCGACAATGCAAGTCCCGCTCATTTGTACTACAGATGGAAACTTTTTTCAGTTCTCCAAGGTGACGATGTCTCATATTGGAGGACGGAAAGTTTCAGAATGTTCAAAAACGGACCCATTTGGAAACCTCCGCCTAAGAATGTTTACACAAAAGGCATGGAAAGTGACATAGACAGCGATGACATTGATGAAGAAGATTCTGGAATGCTGAACAGTGGTCTGTTTGTGAAACCCAAACATCGCAGACCTATGAGTCCAGAGAGCTCAAGCCGTAGAGGGAAAACTGGAGCAGATGGGTCCAGCAGTGGTCGCAAATCGCCTAAGAGAGGCTTCCTGACCACAACGAATAAATCAAAGCTAGACGACATAATGAAGGATCTGACATGCACACGGAACCAAATTGAAATAGCTATGGTTTTCTGTCTCAACCATGCCGACTGCGCTGAGCAGATAATCCGAATAATGATGTCCAAAATGGAGCACACAAAACAGCATTCAAAGCGTTTGGCGTTTTTGTATTTAGTCAACGATCTTTTGCATAACAGCAGTGCTAAAATACCCAATGCAGCTTCATACAGGCGTTACATTGAGCCCAACTTGTGCAAAATTTTCCAGAAATTGCACGACAGTTATCAGTCGCTGGAAGGAAAATTTAAGCAGGAACAATTTAAAAATAAAGTAATGAGCTGCTTCCGAGCGTGGGAAAACTGGACAGTATATCCGGAGTATATGTTGATTAAGCTGCAAAATGTTTTCCTCGGTTTGGAAAAGTATGTGGGATCGGACGATGACGATGATTCGGATGCCGATGATTCTGCCGACCCCGAAGGAACCAGAAGCGGAGGTCTTAAAGCAGAGAGAACAGATGAAGTAGAATTGGATCTGGACGAGCTGCAAGACAACGAGAATCTCGACGGGATCCCACTGTCCAAAGACGAAGCCGAAATGAGCGATGATGAAATAGTTCCTCATGAAGAAACAGCCTCGAATGATATTGACGGAGAAGCGTTGGAAGACGAAGAGGAGGAGGAAGAAGATGAAAAAGTACCCGAAGTGAAGTCCAAATGGCACCAGATAGACGCCATTGAAGACGTCGAGGACCAACCCCCCGTAATTGCTACTCTTTCCAAGTGGGATACTGTCGATGACAGCGATGATGGGAATGAAGAAATTGCTCCTGACGCAGGTAAACTTGCGCTGCATGCTTCATTTGACAAATGCTTGTTGATTGCTGTTAAATTTGCACTTGGATTTATTTATTGTTATTACAATGTGATGTTTGTTGTTCTGTAAATTAATGGATTGGATTTGTTTACTAAAGGTAGTCAGAGTGCAGATACGGATGATATAGATGGAGCGCCGTTAGAGGATAGCAAAGTAGAGGAGCTGGTTAAAACTGCAACGCCAATAAGGTCTTCGCAGCAACCGACCGCTGACCCAAATAAGAGCACAGGTAGAAAAAAGGGCAAAGATGAGGACTCCTCAAAAGCCAGTGCGTCTCAGATCCTTGAAGAACTGAATCTTTCGGACTCCGAGAAACGGTCGGTTCTGAGAGAGATTGAAGTCAAAGTCATGAAGTACCAAGATGAATTAGAAAGTGGAAAAGCAACAAAGAAGTCTGGAAAAACTGTTCAACAGATGCTCGATCAGTTTAGACTTAGCTTAGCTAAAAAGGAAAAAGAAAAGGCCACAAAAAGTGCGGCAAAAACGAGCGAACCGCTCTCTTCGGGCGAGGAAGTACCCAGTTCGAAGTCAGATCATAAGAGGAAAAAGAGACGACATCGATCAAATTCGAAAAGTTCGCACAGCTCTGCTGAAGACAAGGGATCCAAGAAGTCATCAAGCAGTTCAAAACGAAGCAAAAGATCAAAGAAACACCAGAAAAGATCATCCAGAAGCCGCTCGAGGACACCGACCTACAAAAGTGGAAAAAATTCGAAATCCAATTCGAACGACAAATCCCCCGATTTGCATTCTTCGCATAAAAGCAGTAAGAGCTCAAAATCTAGTAGACATTGATTGATTTATGAATGCGTCTGTGCCCAATTTCTGTACCCGTGTGAGACTAATTCGACCCTGATTTAAAACTATGCGCTTTATGTAATGAATCATTCTTGTTTTCAAAAAATATAATCAAATCTCCAAACTTCTTTAGAAAGTAGTGGATCTCAAGGTTATCAACGTATGATATCTTTAAATTTGCATATTCGTTAATCGTAACACAATGGATGGAGGGAAGGGTTAATAAGAGGCAAAGCTCAAAGCTTGGTTTTATGTGCAAGAACTTCATATTCATTCAGTGAATTCGCCGAAAAAACTTTACATATTTGTACACTTGCGAAAACTAGACTGTTTTTCTTTAGAAAATTTTTCTCACCAGTCTTTAAGAAATTGACCCTGCTTTTTATTGAACCTTAACAACTTCCAGACTCCTTCCAACTTGGTCTAGAGATATTGCTGTTGCCTTTAATTTTTAACTCTGGGTTTCGAGTCTCGATCGAAGCTTGCTTTTTGTCAGTAATAAAATTTAAAGAAAATCCCTGTAAAAATTGAGTTGTCAAACTTTCGTTTGTCTTATTTTGTTTGAAGATTTGGACAGCAAATGTCTTCAAATCTGCAAGAAACGAGTGAAATTGCTTTATTAGTGAACCGTAGCAACATCGAGACTCTTCTCATTTGGCCTAGTGGTAATACGCTTGCCTTTGTTCCCTAAGGTCAGTCGTTTTTTAGTATGTATGAAATTGAAAAAATTATCTTGGAAATATCGAATTTTCAATTTTTGTTTGTCTGCTTATGTTTTGTCGGCTAAGTTGCAACATAAGTTTTGTTCTTGAGCTGTCAGCAATTTCCATCAAAGATGCAAGTGTTTTTGATTTACTCCTGTAATTTGAAAAATTAATTGCATTGACATTGTTTTTCCCTTGGTTTGTTTTGGCAGTTTTACTCATTCTTAATTGTTTCGTCTTATGTTTCATCGGCTTATTTACTGTATTTGTTGTCGCTTCAAAAGCAAAAAAGTCGACGTTTAAAAAAAAGATTCAGGTAGTTTGTGTTGCAAGATTTGAAAGTTTTAAAACTTAATTGCTCAAAATTTTTTATGACAATACTTTTTTTCCGGCTGAATGGGCGTCTACCCTCTTGTCGGTCTAGTGGCCGCTCGGTAAATAATAAAAGATTATTTAATTCTGGTGGTTGTTTTGCGGCGCTCTCTGTGTGTTAAAGTGTTAAACTTAATCGCTCAATTTTTTTTTTGTGACAGTTTTATCGGCGTTTTTTTTCGGCTCAACGGGCCTCTACTCACATGTGTCAGCTAGGTGAACGCCCTGTAAAAATTAAGAGATTATTTAATGCCCGTGCTTGTGTTTCTGCTGAAATTTGGACTTGTTTCTGATGAAATTGAATTTTTCCATTTTTGTCGTAGTTGTTTCCGTCTCACATGATGTTCATCAGCTTGATATGCTACACTTTCGTTGCATCGCAGGTGATGCAAAGCTTCGCGTCACTTACTTCTATGTCGATAAAAACATCAGTGGAATTCAGCAATAAGAAGAGCCCGTTCAAAATCCAAAATTCGATAAACGCATAAGTTTAATGGCTTGTGTTTAAGCAAGTTTGAGATGGTTTTTTTCCAAGGTTGCTCTCATAAATTGGTGCTCATTAACAGGGCAGAAACTCAATTTGAGTGTTTGTTTAATGCGTTATTGGCTGCTGCTGTTTTTGGATATCAGTGGTATATGGGCTAGTGGTCAAGACAGTAGACTCTAAATCTGTGGGGCGGAAGTTTGAATCAAGATGGCACTTTTCCCCATTTTTAAGGTTTTTTATTTTAACACTTGCGAGAGCATGTGTCTTGTTATCGAGAACTAGAATTTTCCCGTTAACAATTTTTCTTGCCAATCTAAGAAATTGAGTTTGTGTTTCTTGGCACCCGAAGGTCTCGGAAACCTGGCCGGCCCATGTTTTTTTGAAGGCAATAAAAATCAGGTAGTTTGTGTTGCAACTGAATAGCTTCAGTTTTTTAATGAAAATAATTATTGCTTTTTGTTTGCGGCTTAATGGGCGTCTACCCACGCATTGTCGACTTAGTGTCACTCAGTAAAACTATAAACTTATTTAAAGCTGTTTGTTGAGTTTCTTGACTGTTATTCAGAAATCATTTTCGTTTCCCTTTTTTTCAATTTTGTTGTTCGCGTCCCGTCTATATTCGCTAGCTTGCAACGCTGCGCTTGCGTTATATGGTAAGGGGTGCAAATCTTCGCCCCTGTGTTGCCTTTTTTTGCGATTTCAAAGCTAATTTTGGCTCTGTTCCAACTTCGGTTTTTTGCTGCAATTCGATATGAGAAAGCTTATATCAATTGAATTTTGGTGCTTTCAACTACAATAAAACGTGTCAGATATTTTGATGGTGAACGATGATTTATGAATAATTTTCAAATATTTGGTTTGCGAGGGGAATAGGAAACTGGAAAAGAGCCCTACTTTTTACCGCTTTGTTGCCTGTGTTTGCAAAGTACAGTTTCGTTTCTTTATCAAATTTTCCAGACCAGTATAATAAAAAACGGAATGTTATAGCAAGCATAACCGGTTGTTTAGCAAGTAGCACATATTTTGCACAAAATGGTTCCATAAAATCATTTTAACGAGTCAAGCGCACTTGATTTCAATCTCATCTGCTAAAAGTTAAGTAAATTACGCTCTCCAAATACGAACTTGGAAATGGCGCAAATTGGATTTCGTTTTTCTCAAACAAAAATTTATTCGAAAAAGTTTCAATCACAAATTAGTCTTTTGAAATTCATAGAGCGTTAAGGCCATTATGTCAGTTTTTTTGTTTCCTTGCGTTTTTTGAAATTTTTGCAATTGTCTATTGGCTATGTTGCAATATGATATTCTTCAAGTGCTCCCATGATTTTTTACAATTACTTATCTTTTTTGAGTTTTATCGCCTGCTTTCCAGTATAAATAGTCAGAAAGATCAAATAGTTTTTTTTGCTTTGATTCTGTTTCTATCCATTCTGGTTACGAACATGTATCATACTAGTGTATCACTTTCCTTTTAGTTGGCTTAAGCTTAAAAATTGTTTTTTACACTTGTGATCAGCTTAGTGTATTATTACGAACCTTTTTTTTCTAACCTAACTCGCAAATAAAAGTGTTCATTAAACAAGTTCACCTGTTTGGAAATTTCATTGTAGCTTTGGAAATTGCATAGCATCTATTTTCTGCTTTTCTTGAGGCTAGCGTTTGGCTTTTATTAAGCTTTCGTGGCTGAGTAGTTTGTTAGTGAGTCTCTTAATTTCTTGGTCGCAGATTTGGCTCTCAGAAGTAACTGAGTTTTTGCTAATTCGAGGCCTATTTCTAATTTTTATTATCGAACTTAATAGAGATGCTTTTTGTCTTTTTCTCGCAATTGTTTGCGAAGCAAAGCTTCGCCTCTGTGTCAAAGTTATTGAGAAACCGTGGCTCAAAATCTCCCTCCAGTATCATATAGTCCCTTCTCATTTCTCAAAGTTTGCATTTAATTTTTAGAATTGATGGCATCATAGTCTAGCTTAGTATCAAACAAGTTATAGCCCCCACACTGTGATGTGGGGGTGTTACAATTTGCATAGGCTTCCAGTGAAAAAGCTTATGGGAAAGAGCTAAGGCATTTTATCGAAAAGGTGTTAGCTATGGATTTTTTAAACATTCATTCATCTTTAATATGGCTTAACTTGTTAAAGACTGCTGTACTGTACGTTGTGAAGATTCATATATATATATGTCTTGGTGATTTTGATTGTGTTTTTGAAGAAAGTCTTAAAATGCTCTAATAACTACAGATGTGCATTCATACGTATGAATACATTTATGAATGCACTTAAGTATATGTGCAATTTTTGAGTTCGGTTGAAATTTCTCTGCTGAGAAGTACGTAAATAGCACTCCAAATACAAACGTGAAAATTGCGCAAAAAAACGTGATCTACTTCTAATTTCCAAAATGGAAATTAAGTCTCAGGTTTCTCAGCGAAATAAAAGTTTAACCTATTGATCCAGCTTTCTCAAATTGGATTAATCGTATCAAAAAAGTACCAAATAAAAATTGTTTGGGAAATTCCAAAAGCTTTAAGGGCAAATATTTCTTATTTAAGTTTCGAAAACTGAAGTTTTCGAAGAAAAAAAAGTAATTTTTTGTCTGCTTCCTTGCGTTCATTACTCTTTTCCAACTGTCAATTGGCTATGTTTGAGTGTTGATGACTTGAGTGGTTTTTTCAATTATAGTTTCTATTTTTTGTGCTAGTTATTCAAACTGGTATTTGATTTGGTATGGAGTTCGCTTTTAGAAATCGTTGATCAAGTGCTTATTTTATTTCGCTGATTCCTTAATGAACAAAACCTTAATTACGCAAGCAAACCCTTGTATTATACTGCGAAACCACTTTTTCTTACCTTAGCCACTTAACCTTGTGTCACTTTCTCAAAATGTCAATTTTAGGGTATAGCTAGTATTTGGATGACAGCATGCACAAAGCCCGACTGCTAGGGAAGTATACTGCAAAACTTTGGTAGTCGATGAACGTAGTTCAGACTCGTAATTGGTCGCGATAATTTTTTTTGTTCAGGAAAAGTCTTAAATTTTGTTCAGGCTCAAATTTATTTTTTCGCGGTTTTACTTTTGATTTGGTTTTTAAGTTCTTTTCCTCTCTTAAAAGGAAGGCAAACTCACTATCGAACATCAAAATTGTAGAGGTCACAAAAAACGTGATCCACTTCTAGTTTCGAAAGTAGAATTCAATTATCAGATTTCCCAGCAAAATAAAAGTTTTATCTACTGATCCAGTTTTCTCAAATTGGGTGAAATTATCAATAAAAATTAAATCATATTTTGTTTTAGCAATCAAAAGAGCTTCAAAGCCATCAATTTTTTCCTTGGAAATTGGAAAATTGTGATTTTGTCAAAAGACAAGTCTGTTTACTTGCGTTCATTGACTCCTTTCCAACTGTCTGTTGGCAATGTTTTGAAGTTGAAATTGATTCAGATTAGCATGCTTGCATAGAATGTCGATGTATTTATAACAGCCGTGTCAGTGACGGGAAGTCAATTGTTTTTGTACAAATACAATTCAATGGCCCTAGTCGAAGATGGAAACAAACACATTAGGGCCAATTTTGGCCCAGAATTCGAATCGAGTCTTCTAGCCCATGACGAAATCGTGGATGTGTATGGCTCCAAAGTGGACACACAGAGTGATTGTACAGAAGAACCCCCACCCTTAGACTCTCTGGACATGAGTGGAAGACTAAACGACTCCTTGGGAAGTTCAGGAAAGTCAGTTCAGTCTGTGAAGTTACCGAGGTCGGCTTTGAGAGAAATTAGCGACCCGAGAGGAATTATTCAGAAAATGGAAGAAGAACACGCTAAATATGGAGTGCATCATCAAAAACCGCTTGAACAAATCGGACTAACTAGTGAACAGAATTCAGATTTCGTGAACAACGATTCAATTGTGGATTCGAATATGGGAAAAGGTAAAGGTCATCAAGATGATAGATCAAAAGTTGCAGTGGAAGTGACGAATGGTAACCATGGTGGTAATTCGTTGCGTTCAGAAGCAAAATCAGCCCTTCAAAAGTCATCAACTAGTGCTAAGAAATTCGTTCCTGCCTCAATGGTATCATTTTCGAGTGACAGGGAATCGAAAGCTGTGATCAGTGAAGACCAAGCTCAACTAACGGCAGCGGCGGTTAGTGCTGCGATGAGTGCCGCAATTCCATACTTCAAAGGTCAGGCGGATCTTGAAGGTCAAATGAAATTGCTGCTTGACAAGGTCACACGTCTAGAAAGGCAGGAGCCAATACGTGAAAGGTCGCTCGATGTCGGATTTGACAAAGATCACGCGGCTGCTAAAGTTGAAAGACATTTGGCCGAATTGACGGAGAAAAGATTGCAACTCCTTGAAAAGGTTCTGGACAAGGAACGGAAGATGGGAATTAGGCCGAGACATGAAATAGAGTCGGATTCCCAAATTTCAACCGCGAGATCGTTTCATCGAGCTAACTTTATTGAGGAGGAATTTTCCAGGCCTAAGTCGGTTCATTACACTAAAGTTGCAACAGCTCCTAGGAATGCTTTATTGTCTAAAGCTAACACAAGTTCCAGTAGGTCGAAGTCAAAAAGAAGTTCATCGAAACAAACTAGTTTCAATGATACTTCTTTGTTTCCCAGAAACGAGGTTCCCAAACCAACGGATCCTTCTAGCGAACTCCTTAAAGAGATTCTTCTAGGTCACAACGATAGTTCGTTGCATACTTTGGACAATTCTGGCACTGAAAACCGAATGAATTTCCAACAAAATGTAGCAAGAAGCGCGACATCGTACGAAGCGGAGGCTAGAATTCTACACGAGTTAGCTTTGTTGAAAGATGAGTTGATGAGTTTGAAAGTGCGAGAGGAGCCTGTTAATCATCCGCAAACACGAATAGACGTCAAAACACCCAGAAGTATGGTTGGAACTGAAAACGGTGATTACATGAATAGTTCGACTTCATCGCTGAACGAGGAGCAAATTCGACTTTTGAAGAAACGCAAATCGGAATTGTTGAGTCAGTATTTTCAGGAATACTCGAACCCAAGTCCAAGAGTAGAAAGATTTAAACTGTCAGATATATCGAATACTTCATTTGATAATTTGCATAAAGAACCGGAACAAGTGTTGAATGAAGCTCGGAATTTCCGAAAGCGATCAGAACTGGAAAGACAAATTCAAGGAAGAAATATGGCTCAATATAAAGTACACAATAGAATAGACCATATTTGCGACGGGATTTCAGATGGATATTACCAATTAAGGAAAAATGTAGACAAAGAAATTGGGAAGATTCAAAGCGAAGTTGAGAAAGAACTACAAGCTGCTGAATTACAGGCCCAAGAGGTGGAGAAACAACGACAAGAAGCAAATTCTATTCCGAAAAATAAATTTGGAAAACCTATTTCTAATGTTAGAGGTCTAAAAGCAACCACGGTTGAACGAAAAGCTGGACCATCTGGAAATGTAGCGAACCAAGTTAAGAAGCCAACAGCATCGGTCAGACCATTCGGTCAACGAAATGACATGGCTTCAAAGGTTCGCTCGAAACTAGCAGGCGAAGACGAACATACTGTACAGGAAGTATCGCCGACGCAACTTGCATATCAGCAACTTATTTTGCAACGCCAGGAAGAGTACAGGAAAAAGATAGAAAGAGTTCAAAAGTTACCGGCTGGTTCCACGGTTCAAAACGCAGGATTGCTATACAACAAGAATTTCTACCCAGTCAAAGGGAAGGTTTTGGCTCCGGCTCCTGAAACCAAGGAAGTCGCGACAGAGACTAAATTCCAGCAGAACCAAGAAATTCAAACTGAGACTCCTAGAGATGCGAAAGTGGTGGAAACTCATAGTGGGAAACGAGTCGACATGCAACATGTTGTTTCTTCAAATAAGAAAGACAAATTCGTGATTGAAACGTTGCCTTGTGTTGAAATCGAAAGCCAGCTTGAACAAAATGAATCAGTAGAAATAGTTGAAAAAGAAGACGTGAAGAAACATAAGAAAGAGCCGCCAGCCAATGAGAGTCGAGCAGATTACAGTGACGTAATAATCGTGCCTGGATACGGAAATGAGTTCAATCCAAGGTCAAGTAGAAATCAAAATGTGACGTTTGTTAATCCGAACAGAACATATGCTCAGTTCCAAGCGTGTTTGGAAGATGAAATTCTCTCGCACGTTCTGAGAAATGTAGTGGGCGAAGCTACCGTTCCTGGACATCTAAATAGAGAAGATGATTCAATGAGCGATGAAAGTAGTGTATCTCCTGAAAATGAGATGCTTCTTCAAATATTCATCGATGCGGGAATCGAGATCGACAAGCATTTGCTGAAAAGGTTAGGCGAAGAGGAAGTTATGCGCCTTATTCTGAGCATTCTAGAAGAGCAAAAACGCGATCAATTTGCGGACAAGCTAACTCCAGTTCGCGCTCATGTAAACCGAGTCCCGACTCCGACTAGAACTGCTGACGATTATACTCCAGTGGAATCTGAGGCATCGCAAGCGAGTATAGAGAGCGAAGAGCCAAGAGTTGATTTGGTAGACAGAGGAATCAGTCCAATTGAGTTCGCGCCAGCTGAGGAATCAAGTTACACGGAAGATGTGACTGAGTATTCGGCGAGAGTTTCGATACAACCGAGTCGTGAGCCGAAGTCGTTAGTCGCCACACCCGAGAAGACTCCGCCGAGGTCTCCCGAGAGCTCGATCGTTGAATCGGTGAAAAGTGTAGCGAAGGAACCCCCACCCAGTCCAGAAAAAGTGGTGCCATCTAAAATGCCAGAACCAACTATTTCGACGGTGTTTGATGATGCAGATATGGTAGATGCAGGTATTCAATACGAGAGCCAACCCAGTTTCAGAGAAGCGCAGACGTCTCCAATTCATTTTGCGCCAGCTAAACCTCAGCGTGTTAGTTGTTTTGTGATGAAATATAACGGTATTTGTCGGATGAATCAACTTTTGAAGTTTTCCATGCCCATTTTAAGATTCTATTGAGTGAAGATCACGAGGATCTTGAAAGAGTGGGTCCTCTTAGTATGTCTTCTTAAGCCGAGTTTATTGTGACTATCGGAAACGATTTTTTAACTCACGCAAAAACAACGCAACGGTATATTTAGTTTCCCTCCAACTATTAGCAAACCGTATTAGTAGCCAAATGTTATCTTTGGTCTTTATTCACAGCGTTGTGAACCCAATTTTGCACCATAAGTTTGATGTTAATCTGAAAACAGTCAAGCGTTTATATTTTTTTTTGCTTGGTATGTTTAGGTGTCCCCACCAGTAGAGAGTACCGAGAGTGTGGAAGATGAGTCATCTGAGACGACTGAGGAGGAGGAGGAAAGTGGCACTACGGGGGATGTGATGTCAGACCACGAGTGGATGCTACCCCACAATCTACTCAAGAGCGAAGGAGAAGTCACACCTCCCAAAATACCCAAAGGTTAACCACCACTTATACTTGCACAAGTTCTTTTTGTCGTCTCTTCTTAAGTGGAAAAGGGTGAGTGATTGATGTCGATTTAATGAGGTTTTGTGGGTGCTACTGCTACTACCAGAAGTTAGCTGCTTTAATGTGTTTTAATTACAAACTAAAATTTTTTTATGGATGAAATTTCATCATTTGAGAGTTTGCAGATAGGTCAAAATGTTTGCCCTAATAGACTAGAAATGTTCATGATAAAACATTTTGAACTGCCGTTAACTTCATCTCAATTTATTCAATTTGTTTGATCAATTTTAATAATTTTTATCCAATTTATTGTTGAAAATGGATATAATAATTTGGATTTAATTAATAACAGTATAATAATAAAAGTATGATAATAAAAGCAAATATTAAATTGATATAAGAGGCCAAAAAATTGTTAAGCTATCAAATTCTGTTCTGTAATTATGGTTCAATTTTTTCATAATTAAATCGACTTGTCATTTTTCTGAAATTTGATTTAAAAACTTCTAGGAATGAGCACAGACTTAGATACGGAGAACGACCTGACATCTCGAGTGTCCCTTTCCCAGGGAGAGATCCTCCGCCCCAGAAGGAGACAGACTGCGGCTGGACAGATCAAAGGACCAGTGACAGAGGCACTGTTCGAAATGAAACACCTGATGGCAGCATCCAACCAAGGCGCCCAAATCATACCACGTGTGGAGAGACGAAGGTTTGCATTATTTTATATTTAATCAGATTCTCCCTACATTCTCTACGGCTTTTCATCAATGGATAGGACAAATCAGTTCTGAAAATCGAGTGAATGGAAACAGCTTCGGGTTTGATAAAATAGGACTTGATAATGATTAAGATAAGTCACCGAGTCATTGATCTCCTTCTGCGCGTCCGGAGAGAACGTTTTCTAGATTATGACAGCTAGCAAATTTTTTTCTAAAACGGGTGAAAGGTTTCCGAACACGACTGGGTCATCTAACTATCAATGTTTTCCTGTTTTTTCAAATAGTCTCATCTTTTTGCCTGTTAATTTATAAAAATCAAAGTCGTTGTTATTATTTCAATTCTCTGAATGATTAACTACAAGATAATCATGAAATCCTGCGTGCCTAGGTTCAAACCATACACGCCAAGATCAGATGAAAGACAACCAGAAAGCCCATCCTTAAAGTCTCCAACGTACGGTGCTAACTACCAGAGCTCATCCACCATTCCGACCAAATCACCTAGAAAAGGAGTTCCAGTTCCGATCATGGTACATTCGACTCCGAAATCGAACGTCGCTTCTGAGAGTCCCAATGAAAATCAACCAGATACTGTGCGAAGTTCAGTTGGAGGTGAAAGTGTGAAAAGGTCACAAGAGGATGGTCTTGTTTCTCAGAGGTCACAGGAGTCTGCGAGGACGAGCTCTGCTTTCAGACTCCCGTTGGACGCGTTGAATACAGAAGAATCGATTTCGGACATCGAAGAAATCATGTAGCAAGAAAGAAAAACTGGCCGTATAATCTAGTCAAAATGCATATCATTTGCAAGAGTGCTTTGCCTTAACAAAAACTTCGGTCACAGTTTTAAAACACTTTCAAAATCAAAAATACCCTATTTGATTTAATTCAAAATTTATTCCAATCATATTTACACTTGTGCGAGCAAGTGTCCTTTGTAAATAGTTTTAACCAATTTCGCCGTTAGTAGTTTTTTGAAGTGTCTTGAAACTTGAAAAAGATTTTTCAGTTGTGAACGTTTTATACGTACCGTTATGATAGTGTCTTGTGAAATAATGAAAGTTTCATAATTTTGCAATTGTAAATAATATCAATGTTAATTAACATTTTCGAGTTTTGTCTCTCTATGGACAATAGTTTCTTATATCGACCAGCATAGCTTTTTGTCGGTGAATTAGTGTTTAGTCAAGAGCGGTAGGATTTTCTCGAAAGGGGCGGGCGGCTTTTGTAAAAGGTTAGTCGACCTTTTTTAGGTCAACCAAATTGGAGGTCTTTCAAGACACTATAAAGACGCTATTTTGACAATCAGAATCAGAAGAATTTAGAGAAAGAAGGCGGAAAAGCCGTTTTGGGACACCTTGTGAAATGTTTTGACCAAAAATTGCCTTCCCCTCAAATAGTGAATTAATTTGCTCCTTTAAAATTTTGGGGTTGGTCAGTCGAAAATGGATATCGCAAAATAACCCCAAGTGTGGGATGCATTGGGTAGTCTGTTGGTCATGTAAGAGCGTCCGCTTCTCCCTTGAGATTTTCCCTGCGTCTGGTGTTTACGCTTGCGATAATCAAGCGTTATCAAACTGGAATATAGATTTTTTGCGGGTTGCCAACTAGTGTAACAAAATTAGTTGAATCACTCCTCATCTTCACTTCTCTGCTTACCTTCTCTTAACATTTTCACGGTTGCTTCCCCCTTGGCCCGGAGGTAAAGCAGTTGCATTTGTACCCTAAGATCTGGGGTTCGAGTCGTGGTCAGATCTTAAATTTTTTTAGTAACAAGGAAAATTTAAAAACATTCCGAGAAAACTGAATTGTTGGTTTTTCGTTAGTTCGCTTAGGTTTTGTCGGCTGTAGACAATTTTCCTTGTAGGTGCAAGTGCATCTGCTCATTCTGATTTCAAGGGGGGTTCCTTTTTTAGGTTCTCTTCTTTTTTTTCGGAGTTGGTTTCTGCTCAAAGATGGAAGGCTTAGCTGCCACATCACTCATTTTTATTTGCTGTAAGCAACTTTCATTGTAGTTGCAAAGGCAATTGTTGTCCATTGTTCTTTAAGGTGGGACTTTACACTTTTTTTTTATAAAATACATTTTCGGCTGAACTTGTGTCTGCTCAAAGGTTGTGGGCTTTGTTCCTTTTCGTAAATTATGTTCGTTGTTTCTGATTTAAAATTCAAATGTCTGGCATGTTTATCTGGAATGAACTTCTATCGAGACATGAAAGTTTATATGACCTAGTTTTTTTTCAAAATTTTTCATTCTCGGCTTATGTTTTTATTTTATGTTAGTGTTCTATCGCAAGTGTGTAGAAAGTTGCTGTGTTTTGCTTGAATATTCCACAAACATAATCTAATTTGCATATTCCTGGTTTTTTAAACCGTTATGTTGCTATAAAGAAGAGGCACCAGAAGAACTCGTAACACAAAACAACTCGCAATTTATAGCTGGTTACCTTAAACCGGCTACCTTAAACCAAAATTTTGCCCTTAAATTAATTTTCAAAAATTTGCAAGTTGTCGCTTTCCTTAAATTTTGCGAGTTATCTTTTGTTGCGTGTTGACGCGGTATCAGGAAAACCATTTAAGAAGCAAGCGGAATATGGATTTTTTCCAAATAAACAACTTGTCTAAAAATCACTTAATCATTTTCACATCTGAACTTTCTCAGTCTGAAACTCATCAACCAAGAGAAATAATTTGAACAATTCAGCATTTAAAAATCTCATTTTAAAAAAAAATGCTTTGGTTCTAAGATAATCAATTCTGATTTGATCTGGTCCAAATTCAAGTTGCTTTTGTCTATAAAGTCACATAACAGCTGTGACAGACAGGCTCCTCGAAGCTAACCAGGCCCTTATGTTGACAAATTTTTCAAGTTTTTGACCAATGAGAAGACTACCGAACAGAAGTACGCGTCAGAATGTTTTCAATTGACAAAATCTGTTTTTTTTTTGCAGATTAGACCTCAAGTCTTTCCCTAAATTGTTTTAACAGAGAAAGAAATTGGACTTTAGAAATGGAACTCTAAGTGTAAATAATTCATTGCGAAAATAGTGTAATTGTATATGCGCTACATATGCGTCACTGAAACTATCGTAGTTGTATCAATGGTTAATTAAGGGCTTGAAATTTTCCTGATGTGCAATCTATAATCTTGATACAATTATTACTCGAACAATTATTACTTGGGACTGTTTTTCGGACTGTTTTGTATCGGACTGCTTTTTCGTTCATTTTCATACTTTTCTGGACGGTTTTGTATTGGACTGTTTTGTACAGACAAGCTCTTGATATATAAAATATTTGATAAACCCACCTCAAATCGATGATTAAACTTTGAACTCTCCGATGTTTTGCATTACTTGGCAAGCGAGCAAATTACACTGACGAGCTAGCAATGAAAAATGCTTTGAAAACTCTCGGTCATTTCACTCAAATAGAAAAAATGAGAACAATGACGGAATGAAAATTCACAAAATTCAATTTTGTCCATTCTATGAACAGGTCAAAAGTTCCTTCTCGACGCTTGAAGAACTCTCTTAGAGTCTGGCATTGCTTTTTAAGTTAAGCTTGAAAGAGATTGGAAGACAATAAGATCTGGCCCGGAAATTAAATTTCTGGATCTGATGAATCAAAGGCTGAAATTCAACTAGTCCTAATCTGCTAATATATATTTGCTCGTGCTTTTATGTCAGAGACGTCTGAAAATAGGTATAATTTGTCTATTGACGATCTCCTAGACTGGGATCTTTTAGGATGATTATTTATTTTAAAAACTTTGATACATTTGGACACAGAAAAGAAACAATTTACTATTCTTAGTTGCGTGGGCGGGTTTGTTCATAAATATAAGCAGCCCATTACTGGAATCAGAGTAATCGTTACTTGAAAACAACAATAAATTAACGGAAAAACTTGACTTATTTGAGACTTTTTGGGTGTGTATTTCGCAAAGATACGGCTTCAAGCATAACCTAGTGCATCAGCAAACAACTAATTTTCTTTCTTTCTTTTTTCATCAAAAAAGGTCGAACAGCAAAAACAGCAATTAAGTGACCGCGACAGACGAGCTAATTGGTTGCGAAATTGCCAACAGATATTAGGACTCAGACATAAATTATCCAGCTACTGTCGCAAAAAGCGATCACCAGTGACCCTACCTAAGCCGACTCTCGGCCTAGATATCTTTAACCATTAAACTATTCGCGTGCAATTTCTCACCCTTTACTTTTACAACCAATCCGATTCCTTTACTTTACCCATAACTTTAACCCCTATAATTTTACGAAATATGATCACAGGTAAAATAACTGTTCAAGTTCAAGCTCAAAACAACAATACATTTTGAATGATATTTAAAAAACTCCGTCAAAAATGGCTTGTTAAAATGTCGAAATTTGTCCGGAGAAAAAACCCACCCGAGCACAAATTTTCCGTTACTTTCGTTGCGAAAGTCGGAACAAAAACCAATTTAAGTATCGATTTGAAGATAACTCCGATTCAAAAATCATTCCAAGGGCGCAATCTAATCGGTCCAAATAGCGCACTGGGCATACTAAAACTATTTGAGCTTTTTTAAAACGATTTTAAAAGCTGCATTAGGTTCCATTTCCAAAAACACCTCGTTGTTATAAAGGTGACAAAGTTAAATAATGTTTTCGTTTTAACCCATACTTGAAGTGCTTTCGTGAAACCTTTGTAATTTTACAGTTTATGACTGAAAAATGTAGGATCACTCCCAGTTCGGTCAAGGTGCTAAATTTTAAATTAAGACCATTTATCCACGGGGTAAAGGACCAACACAAGAGCTGTACAGCTCATCACGGCAAACCGCTGTTGTGCCCCTGATATGATTTTCAATCTATATCTCAAAACAAACATGTAGTAGCTGTTTGAACAGCGTAGAAAAAGGCCGGCTTTCGAGTGTTGCCAGATATGATTCAACATTCGTCACAAAAGGCCGCCTTTCTGGTGAGCTTCATTACAAAATCCAGAATCACTTCTGTTGCCAGATATGATTCATCGTTCGTCACGCTTTTGATAAATGAATCATAGGTGTTTTCTCAATGAGCACTTTCTAGCTTTAGTTTTTATTCTTTTTCAAATGTCAAGCTTTGCACTGTAAGCATAATATCGTAATAAGTTTAATACCAACGTTTTTCGTATTTAAGTATTAGTTTTTGCACTAAAACTACTATTTGAGTTTTGAGATTGATAAGTTAATTGTGTTGGCAGTTAAATATGCATAGCAGTTTTATTCGGTTTTAACTTTTTAGTTTAAACATTATGACTCATCGTAATTTAAACTCCTCGTAATTTAAATGAGTCATCATAATTTAAACAGTATGATGACTTCTTTATCTGATCTGATTCATCCATCATGGCGCAAACATCTTGAGGGCGAATTTAGTCAGCCGTATTTCCGTGAACTTGAAACATTTGTAAATGAAGAATATGAAACGAAGAAAATTCAACCAGAAAAAAGTGATATTTTTAGATGGTCACACTTTTGTCATCTAGAATCGGTCAAGGTTGTGATTCTCGGACAGGACCCTTACCCCACCCCGGGACAAGCTGACGGGCTTTGTTTCAGCATGAACAAATGCCCCATGGTCAAACACGAGGAAAGACTTAAGATTCCTCGCAGCTTGCAGAATATTTTTACCAAGTTAAAACAAGAGTATCCGGAGTTCAAGGAACCGAATCATTGTGACTTGTCATCTTGGGCGAAACAAGGATGGTTTTTGTGCTAGTCCACCAAAACATTTTTGCTGAAAAAAAATAACTCTGATAAGAGATCAAAAGAAGCTTTTGACAGATTTTTTTCCTATGAGACATTTTTTCTAAATTTTTCTATATAGAAAAAATTGTTTCTTGCGTTTGGACAGCGTAAAATGGCAATTAAAAATGAAAACAGCCATCAAGAATTAAAAAAAAAACAGCTATTAAAATTGGAATGGCGGAAATTTGTAATGGCTGAGTTTGCATAGTGTCGAAACCAAGATTAGAGATATGAAGCTTCCCAACGTGCATTTTTCACCAGAGTGAAAAAATTAAACTTTTGGTCGATAAAAAATACATTTTAA